ATAGAATAGAATAGAATAGAATAGAATAGAATAGAATGGAATGGAATGGAATGGAATGGATGTGATGGAGTAGAGTAGAGTAGAGTAGAGTAGAGTAGAGTAGAGTAGAATAGAATAGAATAGAATAGAATAGAATAGAATAGAATAGAATAGAATAGAATAGAATAGAATAGAATTTTTTTATTGGCCAAGGACACACAAGGAATTTGTCTCCAGTGCATAAGCTCTCAAGTGTACACGCTATCAACAAAGTGAGAGGCCACAGATCATAAATCATAGTTACAATCATTAATCATAAGATTGCAAACCACAAGGGATCAGTCATAAGATACCAATAGGAGAAGATAGTAGGAAAGCTGAGAAGACGAGAAAGCTGAGAAGGATAATAGCAACGCAGCCCTACTACATGAGTAAATATCTTTAGGACTGAGACAGTGCTGTGGGAGTAAGGTGTTCAGCAGAGTGATGGCACGGGGGGGGGGGGGAAACTGTCTCTGTGCCGAGTTGTTCTGCTGTGCAATTTCCTATAGCAGCATCCTGAGGGGAGACGTTGAAAGTTTATCTCCAGGATGTGAGGGGTCTGTAGATATTTTCCCAGTCCTCTTTCTGGCTGGTGCAGTATACAAATCCTCAATGGAAAGCAGGCCGGTTGCAATTGTTTCCTTCTGTTTTTCTATCCGTTGAAGTCTGTACCTGTCCCGTTTGGTTGCCGTGCCAAACCAGACAGATTATAGAAGGTACAAATGACAAGACTCAAAAAATTCTTCTGTAGAACTGGATCAGCAGCTCCTTAAGACAGAAGCCTTCTCTTGTGAGACGGGGAAGAGAAGAGCTGGCTACGAATAATTCGATTCGGTTTTTAAAAATCTGTATCCCCTGAGCTGTTTTCCACCCGGTACCTTTGGATAAGATCATTAGCAGCTTCTCTCTCATTGTCTCATCACTAATAGATTAGTTCCATTTCGGCTGAACGTCTCCGAGGTCTGAAGCCATTAAGGACGAGGGCTTTGCTATTTAACCCTATCCAGTTCTCGCCTGCTTCAGACTTTGCTGCAAACCATCATGCATGCATGCATGCAAAAAAAAAGGACTCTTAATATTTTCGTCTTCGGCTCCCAAGCCCCTTTTCAGAATCCACACCTAAAATATTCAGCAGAGATAAGGAAGAGGGTTGGCTTGGAAGACTTTCTCCTGTTCTGCATGCTGATATCCGCAGGGAGAACGCGATGTAGCTTTGCAGGCAAAAAAAACCCCCCAAAACCCATCTCATCAAGGAACTCGTTACCTTGCGTTCCTCGGGAGGCAGGACCGAGAAAAGACTTGAGGCATGCTGCACTTTGGATCCCGCGAGGGACAAGGGTTTCCAGGCAGGGTTCCTCAAGGGTTGGACTAGATGACCTCCAAGGTCCCTTCCAAGGCTACTAGTCTATGTTCTATGACTGCGCAGAGGTCGGACGTGGAATCCAAACAGCTGGAATCCGAACAAACTCAACAGGGCAGCCAGTTTCATCTTACTAACTGAACTGCAGTGACTCCCTTCCCAAGAAAAGAGATGGAGAGATTCTCAGTCGTCCAGGTCACGGCTGGGCCAAAGGTGCTTTTTCGCAAAGGCGAAACTGGACTTGGTTTTGGCTTGAAGACCTTTCGCCTCTCATCCGAGAAGCTTCTTCAGTTCTGACTGAGTGAAGTGAAGTGAACTGAACCGAACCGAAGAAGTGAAAAAAAGCACCTTTGCGTCAAGAAAGCTCATCAAACAGGATCAAAACACACATAGCAACACAATTAAACTTAACATCTATTATCCAGGGCTTTATTTGGCTCCTTCCGTCGTTGTGTTATCATTCTGGGCTTTCGGAATTTTGAGTGTGCCGTGCCATTAAAAAAAATAGAATTATTATCTTTTTTTTTAATTGTTGTTGTTAGTTGCGAAGTCGTGTCCGACCCATCGTGACCCCATGGACAACGTTCCTCCAGGCCTTCCTGTCCTCTGCCATCTTCTGGAGTCCATTGAAGCTCACGCCTCCTGCTTCAGTGACTCCATCCAGCCACCTCCTTCTCTGCCGTCCCCTTCTTCTATTGCCCTCCATCTTTCCCAGCATGAGGCTCTTCTCCAGGGAGTCCTTCCTTCTCATTTTTTAAAATAGTCTATCTTAATTAACTCATTTTCCCCTGAATTGTATCCCCCCTGTTTTGCGGACGGGAAAGAACACACGTGTAGGAAAGCTGTTTTTTTTTTTAAAACTCAGCAATCTTTACAGGGCCACTTGTTCCTGACTAAATATCTATCAAATAAATATCAAAGACGGGACTTCTCCATTCAGAATAAAAGAGTTGGAAGGGACCTTGGAGGTCATCTAGTCCAACCCCCTGCTCAAGCAGGAAACCCTATTGCATTCCAGACAAATTTTTGTCCAATCTCTTCTTAAAAACCTCCAG